GGAAGGATGGAAGGAAGGAAGATGGATGATTCAGGAGAGGGGCACTGCAGGGGACAGCGGTGACAGCCCCAGACCAGCATAATGACAGAGCGGAGGGTTAGGCACTGAGACTGCCCACAGCTGTTGCGCATAGCTGAGCATCAGGTGTGTGATCATTGAATTATTGAGTTATATTTACAAAGGCAGGGAAGTGGTCTCAGATAGCTTAGAATGATTTTAGACAGGAAGAATGTTCTGTCTTAAAGTCTTACCCACCCCCCTTTTAAAATTTCTGCTCTTCAGTCTTTTCCCCCAATTTCTTGTGCCAGTGTTAGCAAAACAAAAACAGACCCCCACCCCCAAACCCTCCATGAATCACATTGTGCAGCTCATGACAGCGGGTTAGGAGAGGAACGTTGTTCCCCTAAAGCTGGTGCAGATATTCTCTCATCCTCTCTGATCTTTCTCAAGGCTCAGCATTGCTGGAGAAAGCTACTGCTGCTGCCTCTGACGTGACAGAGAGTGATGATAGTTCTCCGCTCTGTGTTCTGACAGTCCAAAAAAGCCGTGGAGCCGGAGACACACGGAGGGAAATAAATCTTATTTAGGTGCTGCCAACTCTGTGGATTTTATTAAAGGACATTGACACATTCTACACAAAGCCTTCCACTGGCAGACGAGACAGTCGTTGCGTAAAGGCTTTGATGCCTTTCCTTCGTTGTGGAGGAGAACTTTGCTGGTAGACTCTGCAGGTTTAATTAACACATTAACTTCAATGGCTGTGAGTCATGTTCTCCTTTTCTTGGTAGAACCCCAGGCCGGACAATTAACTTCTTAGGGGAGACACATTTGAAGTGATAGGTGGACTGTACAGAGAAGCTTTGTCTAGGGGTGAATGAATATGTGAGAACTGCTTGCTGCAAATCCTTGAGAATTTCAAATGCACTGATATATTTACAGTTTTGGTTTGCTTATTAGTTTTAGATGTAGGCCTCTAGCCTTGGATCCATGGAAGCCAAACATAGTCCTCTGATAAATTACCTTTGTCCATCCATTCGGAAACCTGGGTACTTTACTAGGTAGATTCATCACTAGGAGATTTGCATGGTGCAAAATTGATACTTTTTTCCCCTTTGAACATCTATGGGTTACACATTGTACGGAGAGGGATGGGGTTCCTAACATATAAAACCTTTGTGATCTCCCATCCAAAACATACAGAGTGGTGTCAGATATTTTAGGGTGATTTTAGATAGGAAGGGATTTCTCCCTTGCGTTTGTAGAAGGCTCTCTTGAAAGGCTCCTAAGGAAGTTGAATATAAATATGTGTCCTGTAGTTTGATAGCATCTGTAGCTGTACCACAGTTCTTTGGAAATGAGGCCTCTGGGAATTTTAGAGTATACGAGAGGGTTGATAGACAGGTGGCCTTGACCTGGACCTACTCAGAAGACTGGCATTGAGGTAGAGATGTCTTGAAGCCAGCTCTGCCAGAGTGGAAAGCACCAATGAAGGAATATGGCAGGAGGGCTAAGCCCAGGTGCGAATGGGAAGGTGAGAAGGCATCTCCACCAATAACCAGGGGTAGCTTTTGAGAGAAGAAACTGAAAAGGATACAGCTCAGCATAAGAGAGGCTTGGTTTATTAGATCATTCGATGTACCCACTGCTTGAGGGGCCTCCGGATCCTCATAAATAACAAAGCAGCCCTTCGAAGAGGATATAAACAAATGTCATGGGACATACCTGACTGGTCCACGGGTTTGAATCCAAGCCTAGAGGGATCAATTTAAAAAGACATAGAAGGAAAACACACACACACACACACACACACACACACACACACACAGATGCTGTCACCCACCAGTTCCTCACGGAGATGAATTTTGTGTGGGAGCAGGCATAAGCGATCTCTTGGTGTAGCCATATGAGCTCTCAGAGTTTATATATGATTTTCAGCCTATATGTGAATCCACTTTTCACACAGAATTATTATTTCAAACTGCTGTTCCATTGGTATAAATATTTGTATATTACTGTACATTTATATATAGGCAGAGGCACACACAGTGGTGCGAACTCTGTTCCCTTTAAACTCGTGGAAAGCAGTGTGGCTCTGAGTTTTCAGAAAGACAGAGTAAGGGGAGAGAAGTGGCAGACGCCCAGGTCCGGGTAGGGTGCTTGGTGTTGCTTTGCCAGTCTGGTACTGGAGTGCAGATTGTTCTTGGCATGCTGGGAACAAGAGGCAGAATGTACATATTCTGGCTGCTTGGGCTCTGAGTTAACAGGGAGTGAGTTGTCCCACCCTCTGTTATCTTTATGAGGGGAGCTGTGTCCACTTCTCTCCTTAGCACTCTTAAAATGAATCAAGCTTGAAATGTACCTAGGAAAACGTTCTTCCCCAGACATGATGGGGTAGAAAAAAAAAATAGTGCTTGAAAAAAAACGCCATAGATTCTCCTTGGCTGGATGCCCAAATATTGTGTGATTGGAGCCAATAGAACTGCTTGCTTTCGCAGCCAGATATTTCAGCTTCTTTTGGCTTCAGGATGTGTTTTGATCCAATGGACACATTGGCGTAGGAAGCTTTTTCAAGGGTCAGGTCTTGAGCTGCCTTGTTCCTTGGACATGACTGGTGCATCCACAGCCTGGGTGAGCCACCCTGTGAGTCACTTGACCCTTTACTGAGTGCTTGGGCTGGGAAGGGAGGACAAGGCAGGTTAACCATGGTAGTCAATCCACAGTGACTCACCATTCATTCACTGTGGGATTTGGCAAATGCGATGGTAGAAGATTGGGGTGTGAGTAGGCTGTAGACCAGGCACATAGCAGAAAGTTGTTCTGAATCACCTTTCTTTCCAATCAGTAGCCAAATGACCAGTGGGAACCAGAATGCTTACAACAACAGGACTCTCTGGGCTGCCACCAGAGGACACTGTTGGGGACACAAGAGGGATCCATGGTGCAGTCAGAGGTTATTGAAGGGGAGTCGGGGTGACAAGTGAGCAAGGCAGAATAAGATATAAGGGAAGAAAGACATTAAGAGTGGGTGGAGTAGTGGAGGGTTAGACCCTGTCTCATGAGCAGTGTTCCTATGAAGTTGCCCTTAGAGAGTACTGAAGCAGTGTAGCTTCAGTACTCTTACCAGCTATATCACCATCTGTAAAATGGTCAAGATGACTTCATACAAGTATAGCACAGGGATAGTGTGTGGATTAAATGAAATAGTACATGAGAAGCACTGGGATGACTAAGTCAGAAGTTAGTCAACGTGGGATGCTGTTATAGCCTGAAGTTCCTCTGGTTACTGTTAAAAAGACTAACTGTCTCCTCTTACCTGCAGGATCAATTTCAGTCTCCCTAAATTGCCATCCAAAGCCTTTTCCATGTTGCCTATTTGTATCTAAATTTACTTAGATAAGCCAGACTTATTCATATCCTATTCCCGCATAGCTCACCACTTTTGCCTATGCTGTTCCCTTCGTGAGTAATGCTTGTCCCATTGTTGTCACTTTGAATGCTGTCATTCCTGTGGATCCCAACTGAGCATCTACACGGTGAAGCATTCTTGATTGACTGCTGAGGCTCCTTCCTTTGCATCCTTTTATCACTGGCTGCCTCGTGCATTTCGCATTATTTTAGTCAGAGTCAGGTTATGTCATCCCCTCTTCAGGAGCCAGGTCTAGACTTTGCATTTCTTTGTGTCCCACCCAATCTGCATACGCTAAGCCGAGTGATGCAGCTGACATTGTCACCAGGCAGAATCCCAGCTCATTCTAATATTTAGCGGGCATGTGATTTCCAACAAATCCTGAGCCTCAGTTTCCTCAGCTGTAAAATGGGGATATGAATATGCACCTTGCAGAATGTATGTGAGGCGTAGAGATGATGTAGAGCATTTACCTGCATGTGGCGGATGCTCAATACCTGGTAAGTACTATTATTAGTAGTACTGGTTTGATGAACTGATATTTGTGCATCTGATGTACCATAGGATCATGGTGCTAAGTAATTTCTTTCCTCTACAGTTATACAGCTCTGCTGAATTTGGGAGAAGGTGGCAGCTTATCCAGGAAGGGGTTGTACCAAACAGGTTCTACTGGTAAGTCTCACTTTCTTTTGTCACATATTATGATATCACATGGTAAATGAACATTGAAACCTTCTTCTCACCCAGGGCTCTCACATGAGGTCTGTTCTTTTGGGGGTGTGCCCACATCCCCCTAAGGCAGTATGTGATATTGGAGTAGCGAACGTTTTAAGGGAATGTTAAAGCTGTGTCACAAATTTCTTAACAAACCCAAAATAGATCACTGAGATTAGTGAATAGCAGGGGCTTTGTAACTGTTGTTTGTTATAGTTTGTTGACACTTGTGAGCCAGACACTTAAAATAGAAATTTATAGTGATTTTTATTACTTAGAAGCATTCATACACATATATTGCCTGTTCAAATAAAGGTTTTCCATGTAAATAAGTAGCTTTTATTTAGTCTAAAAGTAGATCTTCCTCCCACTTCCAAGTTCAAGTTTGCTGGACCTTCTCATCATATTGGACACAACCAATATTTTAGATTTTTATTTATCCTTCTAGAAATGTTGTACAAATTACCAAATATATTCTTAGCTTAAGCTGCTATAGCAAGATACCATAGACTGGGTAGCTTAAAGAATACATTTATTTCCCACAATTCTGAAGGCTGGGAAGTTCAAGGACCAGGGCTGACATACCCAGTTCCTGGTGAAGGCCAGGGTATTTCAGAGGGAACTGCTGAGGGCAGCCTTGCTGTTTCCTCATGTGGTGGGAAGAGAGAGAGCTCGAGCTCTGGTTCTTCTTCTTCTTTTTATAAAGGCACTAATCCCATCATAGGAGCCTCACACTCATGATGTCATCTCATCCTAATTACCCCCCAAAGGCCCTACCCCCTCATACCATCACACCAGGGATTAGAGTTTCAACATATGAATCCAGGACCACAAATCAGCCCATGACATTCCCACCCCTGGCCCCTCCAAATTCATATCTTTTTCACATGCACAATACATATTTTTCATTTCATCCCAACAGCCCCATAAGTCTTAACTTGTTCCAGCATCAGCATGAAAGTCTCAAGTCCAAAGTCTCATTTAAATATCATTTAATTCAGATGTGGATGAGACTCAAGGTATGATTTATCTTGAGGCAAAATTCCTCTCATCTGTGAACTTGTGAAACTAGGTAAATCATGAGCATCCAAAATACAACAGTGGGATAAGCATGAGATAGATATTCCCATTACAAAAGAAATCAGGAAAAAGGGGGTGACAGTTCCCAAGTAATTACTGAGCACCTACTACATGGTGGAAAGAGAGTGAGCTGTGGTCCATTCCTTTTCTTATACAGGCACTAAGCCCATCCTCGGGGTCCCATTCTCATGAACTCATCTAAACCTAAGTACCTCCTAAAGACCCCATCTCCAGGTACTGTCACTTTGGGGGTGAGGGCTTCAACATACGAATTGGAGGGGGGCACAAACATTCAGTCCATAAATTTTCATTTACATAAACGTTAGCTTATGCACACTGTTCTACATGTTTTTGTTTCTTTTGTTTTGTTTTTGAGGAGATGTAGTTAATAATACATGTCATCATTTTTTTAATGGTTATGTATCATTTTACTCTAAGGATATAGATTGAAGGTGAATCCTAGCCTTGTTTAATATACAAAAATAAACTATATATGTTGGTGGGAAGTGTGTGGGGATAAAGAGAAACATGGGGTGAGAGACAGAAAGAGAGAGAGAGAGGAAGAGGGGAAGAGAAAGTAAGGGGAGGGGAGGGGAGTGAAAAGAAGGGAAGAGAAAGAAGAGAACAGCAAAAGAAAAAAGGAGTCAAAGAAAGTAATAATATTTTGTTTTGTTTTTTAACTACTTGAGCCCATCTTTCTGATTAAACTAGAGGTGGCCTCCCTCCATGGGAATGGGTGACTCCAATTGGAAAAAAAAGGCTATAACACGGGTTCCTTTTGGCTTTCAAGTTTCCAAAGGCTGAGATCCTGGCAAAGTCAGAACAAAGTATGGAACATTCTGGTGTAATTTTGACATTACCTGTCAATCCCTTTTGAATTGACAGCCTAACCCCTGCCAAAAGATGTGACTCTACCTTACCCTCATTTATCTAATCTGCCTATGGAAAATCCCTTTAGGCTGTTTTCAGACTTTTGCTAGTATAAACAGTACTATAATGAACTAGCTCAGACGAGAGTTTACATATCCCCTGCTAACATCATTCACAATCATTGTGGGCAGTGACCTTTTAGGAACCAATGAGCTCCCTGCAACTAGGACAGAAAAAGGTGTCTCCCTTTTACTCCTCCTGAAATCACACTGCCTCTCATCAGCCTTAGGACTTACATACACTTCCAAGTGGAATGCATTTTCGTAGTTACTTTTGAACACTGCCCGAAAATCCCCATGGGACTTGGAAACCAGAGACCTGCATGAGTGAAACCTCTAAACACACTGTTGAAACTGCCTGAAAAAGTGAAACAAGCTATATTTGCAAGCAAACCGGCTCACAGATAGCACATGGAGACTTCTGTATGGAATGCTACTTCTTTCTTTCCCCCATCATACAAAGACATTTGTAACGAAAGGGGGTTTTTGTTTCATGGAAGCTATTCACCTCTTTCTCCTGCTGCTCTTGCTCAGAAATGGCTGGAGCCTGGCTTTCTGGGTCCAGATTGGCCTGCCGCTTCTCCGGGAATTCAGCTCTAGCTGTCACTGAATCGCCCTTCTCTGCTCAGCATTTCTTCTCTTCCTCTCTTCCTCATTTTGTCCCTTGTACATGAGACACCTTCCACCTCTATGTGGTTTGCCTATAAATTATAAAGTCATTTTTTGGAAGAAAGGTTCATGTCTCTCTCCCTTTTTCATCCTCTCTTTCACTTGGTGTTATATTTGCATAGAAAGGCCTCCGAAAAGAAATAAACGAAGGACTGAAATAAATGAATGTGATCCTCCTAATTTAGCCTGGAAATGGAGTTGACACTTTGCCAAGGAGAAAGTGCGAGGGACAAAAATTTCCTCGAGTCCTGCTTCCCAATGACTGAAAATATCTCCACACGAACCCAGCAACAGAAGAGAGAAAGCTAAAATTCACGGCGTACTGGATCCAAGTTTGTTCCCACTGATAGAAACAAAGGAAAATATGGATGAAAAGGAGGGACAGGGGGAAAGAACTGAGCTGAGAAGGTTTCCCATGTGAAGCGGCACATGGTACACAGCATTTTCTAGCTCACTGACGGTCTTTACACACAGTATTATGAGGTGAATGCGCCCCATCATTGCTTTGGCTGGTGCTGATTTCACGTCATTCTTATCCAATCTTTGAATGGGGGTCTTCTATCTGAAAGCCTGATTAGCAAAGCCATAACCAAGTGTCATAATATCATCTTTCTGAAAATGTTACGCATGATTGTGTTTGAATTCTAATTCATATGCCAAGTAAAATAAATAGTACCCCCTCCCTCTGCCTTTGGGAACAGAGGGATACATCTTCCCCATTCAATCCCTAACAGTGTGATAAGCATTCAAAGCTATTTAATCCTCATAACAATTTTATGAAGTAAGGTTTGCATTATCATCATTAACAGATGGGGAACCTTTGGCATGAAGAGGTTAAGTAATTTAGCCAAGGTCACACAGCCAGAAAGTGGCAGAGCCAGGATCCAAACACAGGCAGCTTGGCTTCAACGTCTATGCGCTACTAAATCAATGGACTTGACTCCCTCGTCTCTGCCTCTTGGCCCTCTTTTCTGGGCTGGGGCTGTGAGCCCTGGAAATCCAGCCCATTCAGGCAGATGAGCAGAGACAACCCGAAGCTCTTTTGGCAGCCGTACCTGCATGTGCATCTCTCCAGCTGGGCTTGGCAAATGGCCCCCCTGGGTTCTTTAAGCTCAGTTGGTTTTTCCAGAGAGGGCATGAGACCTTGTAAAGTACACAGTGCACATGACCGTTAATGAAAATTTCTTGGTCTCTGTCCACATGATCTGCATTTTCTGACTTTGTGCAACTTTCTAAGGCTGGCAGAAAAGGTGTCAATCAAAGCAATATTTATTAGACTCACTGCTGGAAGCAAGTTGCTTCAAATTATATAGGAGCTCTGGGGGCTATCTAGGATTCTTCAGCAAGCATAATTAAAAGAAGCCCCCTTTAATCAAGTCTGCTTGGAGCCTGGCTATGGGAGTGTGGAAGGGACCGAAGACTGAAGGGAATTTTCTAGTGTTAAACTGAATTGTTAAGCGACCCTGGGTAATAACATAGCATTTCCCATAGAGAAAAATGAAGATGAATTTTTATATTTTCCTTATCAACTGGTACTCTTGAGAAATGTCTTTATTTTGGGTGGCAATAGTTATGCCACCCCCAGAAGCAGTCAATAGCAATTGTAAAATCATTGTGGAATATAAGGGCTTATTCTTATATCATCTCAGTGTTTGCTATTCATATTGCTATAGATAACACAAATATAAATATCCCCCCAAGGAGTTCAGATTGCTTCCAAAACCAATTTGCATGTATAGGGCATCTTATAAAACACATCGTAGCACAATATTGCCCTTAATAGAATGGGTGTTTTTATTTTATATTTCATTTAACTAACTGTGATAGTGGCCTTTTTCTTTACTGTGTCAGGAGTCAGTTATATCAGAGACAGTACAGACTGGAGGTTAAAGGTCTCAGAGGCCCTGAGGGCTGAGTTCTAGCTTTGCCATTTACTAAGTAAGGATCATGGAGAGGTTACTTAACTTCTGGGTGCCTCAGTTTTCTCTGTAAAGTGAAGGTCACACTTACTTCATTAAATGATATGTTTCTTGTGAGTTGGTTACATACCTGACACCTAAGAACTGTATTGAGTGCCCACTGACTAATAGTAATAATATTGACAGTGCTGACTTTTTACATCTATTAGTTTTGTTTTCCCCCATGTTGGCTTCATTCTCAGGTTGGCTTTCTCCAATCTGTGGAAATGATGGACATCATCAGCTTAGCCTTATATTCTAACAGCTTAGAATCCTCATCAAACCAGTCTGCCTCTTCCTCTGTATTTCCAGGAATTGAATC